AAACCTGGTGGCAGATTGTATGATGAAATTAAAAATCGCAAATCTTTATTTGCCCAATTGACAGGTACAGTTAGAGGCGAAGACCAATCTAAAGATACAGGTGAAGACGAAATTGAACCACTCGGTAAACTTTTTTTAGTAACATGTTTCACACGTACATATGTATGTATATACTAAATGTTAGATGGAATAAAACATTACTATTGTTTCAGCTGAAGACGTAGCTTAAAGTTTGGTATGGTTGGATCATAATCGTGATTTTACACTAATTGATCATCATTGGAATATAACAGCTAAAGCTCGTAATGATATATTAATGAAATCAAATGGAAATGTCTTCGACTATCTAAACAAGTATCCAGCGCTAAAAGATCCAAATCATGATTTTCGTTTAGTAAATATGGATTTTTGTGAGCTGTATACAACCTCTGAATCAAAATTCTATGAGCATTGGGAATGTTTCGTCACAAAAGTGTTTGATCAAACTATTAGAAAAAAAAAAATTATACAGACGTTCAAAAAGTGTTAAATATAATTGATGATGAAAATACTAATTTGTGTAAGTGAAAATAACTATTCTCTTATCTTTCCTTATGTCTACGATGATTTATTGAAATGTTCCATAACAGATGCCAAACGTTTTGCTGAAACATTAGTATTACCTTTTGCCGTTCCTCCACGAGCTGCATGCGATTTGAAGCGAATCATCGTGATTTTTATCATCACGCTCAAATTATTAAAAATAGAAAAAATATCTGTTATAGTCTCGCATTTATGAATCAGTTTATTTTAAATGAAAGATTTCTTTCTCAAAAAGGTTTTGAAAAATGTGTTATTTCTATCGGTCCATCAATCGAAACTAAAATAACAAATTTAAATGAACATTATTTGGTTAATGATACAAACACCAACTTTGATTTAAGTGGTTCATTTGTTATTACTTCTTGGGCTATAGTCAATAGTATTAAGTATATAAAAAATATGATCTTAAAAACTAATAAAGTAAATAAATTTGGTAAAATTAAGTATATTTTAGGAGATGGAGATAATGTAACGTTCTTAATTTCATCGTTAGATGTTAATTTTGAAAAACATTATCATGCTAACAGAATTATTACCACAGAAATGTGGAGTTTTTTGAGCCACCGGAATTTAAGTGATCCAATCCCGAGAGATGAATATGCAATCGCAAATGGACAAAATTATATCATTTGTTGAGTTAAAAATTTATGTAAGTTCATATGTATTCTTTAGATATAAGATTAAAAAAAGTTTTTGTTAATTGTAGTTGTAACAATTAAACCAAACTGATTAATATATAAAGTAGATGAACAGATAATACATTTATAAATTTTTTCATTTATACTTCATATAATCAACCTTTAATAAATTTTCAATAAAATAATATAAGCTTCTTCCAACCGAATGAAATTTTCGTAATTAAGTATAATTTCATATTTTAACAAAATTATAAATAAATTGAACTTAATAGTCCTCACACTTATACTAAATAATAATTGTATTGTACTAAATCTGAGGTTGATTAGAGTACAATTTTAAAACATTTTTTCAAAACTATTATTCTACTTTTATAGAATTACATCTCCGATTAAATTAAACTATTTTTGCTGTTGATATAACATAAAAAACAGTTCTATGGACATAAAAATATTTTTCATGAATTGATCTGAGATGTACTGTAAAAGTAATAATCATTCTAGTCAACTGATTGTTCGTTTTATTCAAATTGTATATAATATTTTATCTAGCTCACTATTTTCTTTGCATGAATACTTAAAAACAACCTGAGATAAATCGATTTTTTTTTATAATAATTGCGAAAATAGTTTCTGTTAATTGAGTAAATATTTCTTTCAACATTAAAATTTACTTCATTTAATAAAATTTTCAGTCCACTGAAAATACATACTTTCAATCACCTAAATATTCAATTTAAGTGAAACTTAAGTGAAGTTATAAAGAATAATACCTATTATTATCTCAAAAGCATTAATGGCTTCAAAATAATTTTTATTTTCGTTACATTAAATTAACTTCTCGATTGGGTCAAGAACTATAGACTTAGCTCTAACTAATCAGTCTCTTCACTCAAGAAACTTTCATTTGGAATAAACAAAATTGTCAAACGTACAGCGCAGTAGACTCAAATAGTTCGCGCATTTGGCTGTATTCAAACGAACGGAGTACTTGAGCCAAATGAATCTGCCCCGATAGACAGGAATGATATCATACAATGATGAAAAAATATTTTTTTTAATTTTTCATTAAATTTTTGTAAACACATTTCAGAATAAAAAGTTGTGTCAAATTTATAAATAATTATTGAGTAGTCGTGATGTAATTATTGAATTTTAAGAATGCTTAAACATATTTACAGTTTCTTGCATCAATGTTTATTCATACACTGCACTTTTTCTAGTATATAAATCTTTGAAAGTATCTCTGTGGTAAATATGATGTAAAATCGTGATACAAAATTTGCATCATTTTTGAGCATCATAAGATTTACAGAATATTTACAAAAACTTTTTATCTCAATATGATGTAAATATGTTATCACAAAAGATATGAAATTTTTTTGTTAATTATTAAACAAATATTGCCGTACGTAAAATACTCATAGAATGTTTCAATCTTTGAACATCCTCTTGCTGTAAATATGTTGTAAGCTAGTTTACAAAAATTTCAGTCATTATGGTGTGTTATGAAGTTTACATTTAATGTACATAACATTTACGGTTAACAATGATGGAAATAAATTCATTTACAATATATAAATATATTTACAAACTGTTCCATAAATATTGCTGCATAGACGAGCATCAATTTATATTGAGGAATTTGGTAATGTTGTTGCTGTAAATATGATGTTAAGTTATAAACAAAATAGACCATATGCCATAAAGTAACGGCTAGTATACTTAAGTTTCTACGAAATATGTATTGATGCCTGATGCACTGAAAGTATCATAAAATTTTTTTTGTTTATATGTGATACTGTATACAAGATTTTCTTTGTCCTTTGCAGTACGCCTTTCCTGAATAAATATTTTCTTCACCCTTAAGACAATATGTCTGCCAGTTTGTCTTGACAGTTCACAGTGATCACTGCGTGTTATTTGGCGATTCTTTAAATAATTTATTGCTACAAAAATTATTTCTTGTCTGTATTTATTAATAAATATTAAAAAACTGGATAAATCCTTGCTAGTTGGTGAAAACACAGTGATTAATAGTGAGTTTGAATATTGTTCTGTGAAAAAATTTTATAACATTCAATACAGAAGAATTATTTCAACGCATTACTACAAAAAGTGGTTAATTTTACCGGTAAGTAAAAAAAATTTTTATAAAAATATGTTTTCAAATTATTTGTTTACAATTATATTATATTTATATTTATATATTATATTTGTAGAAATCATTCTTTTTTATAGAGGCAATTAGAAAACTTCCTCAATTACGTAAAGAAGATACGTCCAAACGATGAACTTGCTGAATTGCTTGGAAGAGAAGAAGAAGCGACAGCAAGGAAAATTAAATAATTAATAAATAATATATATCATTATTTCATTTTCATATTTTTAGAGAGTGTTTTTGAGTTTTTATAATGTATTGAAATTAATTATAAATGAAAATTAATATTTTCCTAATTTAATCTTTCCATTAATAAAACCAAAAATTATTCCTTAAAATACATTTCAATTCATATTTAGATCACGATATGAATAATATTCATGACTTAAAGATGATCAAAATATGATTTAAATAAGTGCATCACTAAATCCCTTAAATATGATCAAAATATGATTTAAATTGGTGCATCACTACGTGATTTAAATATGATTTAAATATAAACTAAAAATTTCTTAACAATAATATGTTTCAAATTTGATAAAAATTATATAAAAATTATATTCGTTTTTGTATGATCAAAAGTTGTGAAGATCTTGGGTAATTCAATTTTTATTCATATATGATGTAAATCTTCACGACAAATAATGAATTATAAGAAGCATACTATTTAAGCATTCAATGATCTAAATTGTTGTAAATTTGCTTCAAATATGATGTAAACCTGTCTATCGGGGTGGTTTGTCATCAGGAATTATTTTTTACAGTGTAGTAACCTACCTAGATATCACAAACATCGATAAAAAGATACTATTAGTTGAATCATCTCTAAGTGAGACTATAGTATAAAAATTGGTATTTTCTCAGAGAGTGAAACGTATGCCCAAAATTAGACACAGAATCAAGTGGTTCTGTCAGCAGAAGTGTTAAATAAACTTCGTGAAGATTCATGCTGAATCTTCCAATAGACATGTGATCAGAGACTCACTTGATTGCCAATTGAAAATCAATAACAAAACTTGATCGTCTAGAATGTTTCATATCAACCAGTTTAGCCAGTAGTTCCTATCTGGAAATCATTGAGATTTGAGAAAATCTCAGCACTTGAGAATGTGGCTGTTTACGTAGTTGATGGGCTTGATTCAAACAATAAAGAAATTTCATAGATTAATCTATGATAATCCCACAAGTCTATCTGGGTATGTTACTTCCCCGATAGCCACATTTACATCACATTTACTTCAAGTTGATGATTCGTATCATCATCATATGCGTAAAGGTTGTTTGGCTTGTGAATGAAAATATTTGAATCATATTCACATCATTATATGAAGTTAAATGAATATTAGGATAAAAGACAATTCTTTGTAAATTCATTTACTTTCATCATATACGTAAATAAGACGTATTATTGAAAAGATTGAAATGTAGGAAACGCATGAGGAACATATGAAGTTGAAATTTACAACATTAAAATCGGCAATATTTGTTGTCATATTTATATAAACTGTAATTAATAATATGATGATAGAAAATTGAGATTTAGGAATAAAATTGAAAATTAATAATAATTGATAAAAATTTATTAAGGAGGTTGTGTACGTCTTTGCGGGGCGCAGAGCGAGAGGGGAACGCCTATGCTTATACATAGAGTCCGGTCGTAGTTACCAATCGCATAACAATAATTCTTTATTTTTTCAAAATAGTTTTTAGTGATTGAAAATTTATCACAAATTTTCATTTTTAATATAATTATGTATATAGTTCATTCAATACTTCTAATGATATATATAAGGGCTTAATAATTAATTTTTCAATTGAATCTAAAACGCGTCAAACGTGGCAACATCGCAATAAGTTTTTTTTACGGATCTACTGTTGGCAAGCTTTCGTATTCTCTGATGTTGAGTGATCTAACCTGTGCAATTATGTCAAGTGAAAAAGTTTCCAAAATATCTAAATATCGCTGGAAAGGTAAACTTTGTACTGAGAAACAATACAAAGCAAGATTGAGACAAGTTGAAGGAGGTAAAATGAATAGTAAATCAAGCATTAGTGATAGAGCCAAATATGAAGTGGAAGGTCGAAGAATTATAGAATATGAGGTTATGAGGAAACATATGCACTGTGTTTTCTGTAAACAACTCCTATCACTTGATGACGTTGAAAATGAACATAGAAATGGTTTGGGTTCAATATTTTTAATACGTTGTCGTGAGTGTCTTGGTATAAACAAAATCCCAACTGGAAAATCACATGATAATTATCAGAAACAGCCAGTATTTGATGTCAACACTAAACTAGCCATGGGTAATTGATATTTATTTTTTTCTTATTTATTGTCCAATAAGTATTATTGTCATAAGTGATTTCTTTAAATTAAAAAAGTGAATGAAAACATGGGGTTTTTTTTTAAGTATTATAATGAAATGTTGTGTTTTATTGTCACTGTTATTAGGTACTTTGCACGCTGGATTAGGTTTTTCATCAACCACTAGTTTATTTCAAACAATGAACATTCCGACAATGTCATCAAGAACATTTAAAAAACTTGAAAGAGAAGTTGGGCCTGTTGTTGAGATTATTGCAAAGGAAAGCTGTAAAAAAGCAGTCGCCTTGGAACGAGCTTTAACTATTAAAAATTTAGAGAATTTGCAAGAAAAATTGTAAGTTTTTTGGTCAAAGAAATTGACTCATATATACATATATATGTACATAATTACTGAACATAATTATTGAATGAATTTTGTATCTTTTTCAAGTCTAAAAAATGAATTGATGTGAGGAAAATTAAAATTTTTCCTTAAAATATAATATATGAATAATTTTTTTCGTATTTTCAGTCTCTTAAAATACAAGAATTATAAATAAGAATTTTATACTATTATTATACAAAACATTATTATACAATATATACAAAACATTAATATAGAAAACTTGTTTTCATCTTATTCCTAATATTTACAATTTTATCCTGATTTATTTTTCTTCAATAACTTGAAATTTTTTGACTTATTTATTTAGGCCAGAAGACTTGCGAAGGAGTGATTTTTTAGTTCCTCAAAAAGAAGAAACTTGTTTTCATTTACCCACCATTTCGGCTGAATGTGATGCTGCTATTGAACTTATGGAAGTAAATCCTTCTTCAACATCTGATAAGTCGGAAACATTCATATTAAATGAAATAAAAATCCCAGAACATTCTGAAATTATAATATCTTCTTCAGACAGTGATAAAACGTGTGCGCTAAATTCATTGCCATCATCATCATTAATTACTGCTACGACCAAATCTAATTTTGAAATAATGGAGTTAACTACTTCAACAACTCATCACTTGGAAGAATCGGTAATACGCGAAGAAAATGGTTTGGAAGAAACAAATCCGTTACCAATTCCAGTGTTCAATCCTGCATCAATCACTTCTGATACTTTACTCCGTTTATTTGTATGTTTCGATATGGGTTGGAGTAAAAGAGGGAATGGGTTGCAATATGACAGTCTTAACGGATACGCTACAATGATTGGTGCTTCTTCCGGCCTCGTAATAGATTATATTACAACAAGCAGAAAATGTCGCAAGTGTGAGTTAGGTTATGCTAAAAATTCACATGATTGTCGGCTAAACTTTCATGGCACTGCCAAAGCTATGGAGGCTCATGCAGCAGCACAGTTAGCGGCAAAAAGTGAAATTTTGAAGAGCAGTAATTCTGAAATTGGAGTTTTTATTAGTGACAACGATAGTTCTAGTATTTGTGCAGTTAGAAATGCCACTGATCATACTGTTGTAAAACAGTCAGATCGGAATCACGTATCAAAAGGCGTTAAAAATTTATTGTACAAAACTGCAAATAATAAAGATATAAATGGATTGACGGGTGATGCAATAAATTATTTGCATCGTTGTTACACCTATTCTGTTGCTCAAAATGAAGGAAATACCAAGAATATGGCTGCTGCTATTAGAAACATTCCATACCACGCATTTGACATTCATGAAAATTGTGGTAACTGGTGTGGATATTTAAAGGACCCTGAAAATTATAAGCATTCTGTGTTATTCCACAAAGATTTTAAAAATGAAGTTTTGTTTAAAAAATATGTGAAACGTTCAATAAGTTAGCTCAAAACGCTGAAAAATTTTCGTGTGCTGCGTCAACTCAAGCAAATGAGAGCTTGAACTCAATGATGTCCCGTAAAGCTCCCAAAGCAATATGTTATAGCACTTCGGAATCAGCGGACTATAGATTTGCGTGCACAGTGAGCCAAAAAAAACTGTCGTCAACAATACGTACAAGATGTTTTTACCAAAATGAAATTAAGTCCTGGATCATATTTATCAAAACACATTGAACGATCCAAAAAATCTTTCCAGCTTAGATCCATTAAAGCAAAACAGCCGAGTTTTAAGGCTAGACGACAACTTTTGAAGAAAAAACGTAATCAACTCCGTAACGCCAAAGAGCGTACAGAAGGTGATACATATCAAAGTCACATTGATTTATTGACTACGTCCTGTGTTGAAGTCAAACCTAATTCAAACCTAAGTCAAACCTTTACTTCCAACTTACTTCAGCTATCATTAGATATCAATTTTTCTCATGAATCACTGGCAATCGTGTTTTTTGACTTGGAAACATCAGGTTTTCAATTAGATTGTGACGTATTGCAAATCGCCGTAAAATGTGGAAATGCATCATTTCAGAAATACATTACACCAACGCAAGTAATCCCTTCAAGAGCGTCTAATGTACATGGTTTAACCAATGAAGGTTGTAATTTATATTTACATGGCAATAAGGTTTCATCACAGCCTCTTCGCGTAGTGCTTCACGAATTATTAACATTTCTGACTGATCTCGGCAAACCGTGTGTTTTAATAGCACATAATTGTTTTTCTTTCGATGGACCACGATTAGTTAATATTATAAATAAAGTATCTCTTCAAGAAGAGTTTATAAAAGTAGTTGACAGTTTTGGAGATACTATGAAACTTTTTCGAAATAAATATCCAGGTGCTGATTGTAGTTTGTTAAGCTTAGCAGGAAAGAATTTTTCTCTAAGTACAAGGAAAGCACATGATGCGATTTACGATGTAATATTATTACAAAATATTGTGTCACATGATTTAAACGTTGATGAAATACTAATTAACAAAAAAAATTTCCAAGCATCTGTAAAATTTCATGAAAATTTTCAGTCATTGGAACCGCTGCAGTATTGCATTTCCAAATTTATTCGTACTAGGATGGCAAACGCAACTATTTCTTATGCCAATCTAGTAGATTCATATTGTGTAAGTAAACAAACAACGATAGAATTGTTAAAAAAAGAAGGGCGTGATGGAAAAAAAGTAATTCGAACCAAAAATAATTTAATAGACATTTTAAGTCATTTAAAACAAGCGTTGCAATAATTTTTCGTGATATTAGAGTTTAATTTTATTATATAAAAAAATTATTTATTGACGTTAAATGAAGCAATATATTATAAGAATGTTTAATTTAAAATATCTCTATAGAAAAGTTATAAGTGCTAGAAGCATAAATAAAATTAATATCTTAAAAAATAATATTTGTAGAAAGTATTATATTATTATTATTTAATAACCACTTCCTGATCTCATTTGGGTACATTTATGTATTTATTCAAATTATTGAACGAAGCTGATTAGAACATTTATTTGAATGTAAACGAATTCAAAACAAAAATGGCTATAGCAAACTTCATTGATAGTATGCGTATGTAAATGTATAGTAATCTTTTTCGTGTGTGTAATGCGATGTTGCCACGTGTCTATACTGTTTATAAGAAAGAAGTGGAAAAAATCATTTATTATTTACTAATTTATTTATTTCTCACAAACGAGACAGGCAAAATTCTTATAATTTTGCATAACTTTTTAAAACAGTTTTTTACGTAATATGAATAGTTTTTTATTGCGGTAGAACTTTTTTATTCATAATAAATATAAAATAATGCAGGATTTTAATGAACTGTCCATAAGAGTCAATGTTAAAAAAGCCAATTTTGAATTTTAATTTCTCAGAAACTAAACAGACAAAATCAATTTTCTGGTAAATACAGGTGTAATTATTACTCATAATCATCATACTAAAATTTCATAACTATAGGACTTTTTTTTTTCGTAAACAACCTCCTTAATTGTACATCTATATAGTAAAAATGTTTTGAAAGTACATTGAATAAATTTTGTACATATTTAAAAATTTTTACTAAATAAATTTATAATTACAAATTTTTAATCAATTATTATCAAATACATATAATCATGGTGCTCGTAAGAATCATTATAATAACGATTAAAAAATATTCCACTAAATTAGAAATCATTTTACTATTTATTGACTAATATTAAATATGTTAATAAATCGCACTATAACCAGTTGGTCAAATACAATGTAAAGTACTTCAAAGTACTATAATGTATTATAATTATTATTCAAATTTCTTGATCATGATAATTTTTTTAAAAACTAACATTGATTATTATGTAACGTAAAATAATATTCAAATAGAAAAGAATTTTCAAACTTAAGGTTAAAAACTCATATCACTTAATAATTAATATAAAAAAAATGTGTATCTAAGTATTTATAAGTATAGTTATAAATCACAAAATAGTCATTCACTGTCATCATTTCTGAGTAATTCTTGTGCTTTTTATTTTTTACGGGAACGAACTCCTTCATTTCTTCCTGGTCTTCGGACATTCCGAGCACTTTGCTTGTAGGATCGAAGGACTTCTGTCATATCCTTTTCGAATAATCCTCATCATGATCATTATTTACAAAATTTTCATTATTGTGAATGTTAGCTGTATTGGCAATGTTATGATTATGAGATCTAGTTGGCAATTGCATTCAACTGTTTCTAGCAATTTTATAATAATTTGCTATACATTTTAATTAATTAAACAAATTTACTTCAAATTTCTGCCAAGTTTATATCAATTTATATGTTAAACTTTTCATCATGTGAAGTATAAACTTGTTTACTATTTTTGAAACCAATATTATTACATTCATCGCGCTCATAAGATGCTGACTAGATAGACGCTTTATAAGTCGTAAAAATGATCTAAAATTATGCTGAAAAATTGAAGGCATTACGATATACCAACTCATTCAATATTTTTTCCATCAATTTTGTTGCATAAGTTACACTAACCGAATGTAACAAATGTTTCAACTACATATCTCATAAATATGATAGTAAATTATAATAAAATAATGAATGCTTCATATGCTGTAAATTTCATGTAAATTTGAAAGAAATATATGCTAATCTTGAATAATACGTTGTCCGTAAAAATTTTCGGATGATCGGGTGTCTTCGTATTAATTCGGATTCTTCTCAAAATGGCAGTTACTTTCGTTAACAGCTCAACAAAGGATTGTATATTTTTTAACGTGCCATTAGAAATTTGTTGAATAATATAAAGTGATAAGTGCTTTGGTGACATTGTTTTGGAATATATTTTACAAAGTTTAGGTAAGTTAATTTATTTAATTTAAACTATTATGACAATTAATCAGTGCGTATTTTTAAACTTGTTGATAGTTACATATTATTTTGAAACATCTTCCGGTTAGGATATCAACAATCGTTATTGTTTTTTCTATTGTGAAATAATTGAAATCTAATTGTTTCATAATTATATTTATTTTTATGTGTATTATTACAACCTAAATAAGAGATTATTGGCTGTTTATCCAAATTGTATTTTCAGGACAAAGATGTTTGAAATCATTCTGATTATTCTTTTTATATTATCCAATCTCTTAATGATTCGTTCTCGATGGAAGAAAAAACCAAAAAATGTACTCAGTCCAGCTACGATACAACAACATTATTTGAAAGAAAAGAAGAAGAAAGAAATATACATGAAAAATCAAAGAAAATTTTTTTATTCAAGAAATGATCCTCAAACTGCCACAACTTCCAGTTCAATTAACGTAAATGATCATCAATTGAGTGTCTCATCAACTTTAAGTGTAATCAGTGAAAGTAATTTACAACCTAGTACTTCAGCCACTTCCGATTTAATTAGTGAAAATAATTATCAGCCTAATACCTTCGATACATCGGTAACCAATGTCAATGTTCTTTATAATCATTCAGATAATAATATTGTGTCTTACTCACTTACTCGACTTCCTGACGAAGGAACAAATACCGAAAGCGATGATGATTTTAATGATACCAATGAATATTATACTGATGAAGAACTATCATCAAGTGATTGTAGTGACTCTAATAATACAGATGATAAAGAAACATTTGCAGAATCTTCATTAGATCAATTTCAAAGTAAGCTTGCTTCAATATTCATCAGTGCTAATGTAAGTCATTCTCAAGGTGATCAAATATTAGCAATTTTACGTACGCATTCATGTTTTGTGACCCTACCTCAAGCAACGAAAACTCTTTTAAAAACGCCTCGAAAACCTCTTAAAACAATACGAATGGGATCTGATGAATATTATCATATAGGATTGGAGAAGGAGATAATAAAGAAACTCAGTAATAATCCAAATTCGACAAGTGTAGATTTTTTAATTATTGATATTCACACAGATGGAATGTCACCTCATCGTAGCAGTCACACTCAAATTTGGCCGATACAATTTCGAATTGTAAATGTTGCAGATGATAAACCAGGTATCATCGGCGTATATTTAGGTAACAAAAAACCTAATAATTCTATAGAATTTTTTAAATATTTCATCAATGAATATAGAATGAGATGTGCGTCTCATGGAATAAAATATGATAATAAATTGATTCCAATTCATATCCGAGGTTTAATAGCAGATGCTCCAGCACGTGCCTTTGTTCTCAATCATCGAGGACACAATTCATCGAAACCATGCTCTAAATGTAAAGTCGTTGGACAGTCAATTAATCGAACGATGTGTTTTTTGCAAATTTCGAATGAAGCATGAACCAACGAAGAATACACGAATAGAACCGATAAACAGCATCATCTCCCGAACAATGAATCTGCTCTGAAGTATTTTGGATTGAACTTGGTCACTGATGTTCCGTTTGAATACATGCACCTCACTTGCTTGGGGGTTGTGAAAAAATTTTTAGCTG